TGCTGGTTCGCCGGGGCTTGCACAAACAGCAACCAAAAAACACCCGTTCCATATATATATATATATACACACACACACACACATGTGTGTGTGTGTTCGTGTTTACATGTAGACCATGACATAACATAGCATGATATGACATAGCAGAACTTAAAAGTACAGTGAGACAGAATATATTACGGTACAATCCAATACGTTACGTTACAATACAGTACAATACGATACAATTTCCTAGAAGATAGTGGTATATGGTCGTATATGAAAGGAAGGGATGGGAAAATGACAGGACTTGGGACACTGTGATACAAACAAGTATACTACGATAGGCTACTGTCTAACATAGTGTAAAGCCATCTAACATCACACGATGGAGTAGAATTAGAGACACCCGGTCCTCTCTACGAGCTGCATGCGCTGGAGGGCCTCCGCGGTGCGTCCGACGAAGCGAATCAATGCCATCTTCACCTCCAAACTCCCAAAGATCCCCTGCGAAAATTCTACCTGACAAAGGGGCCTTTCTGATTAGAGCAGCGTTGCGGTGATACTGTATAGTTTTTCTTCCCCAAACAGCACGTCACGCCCTACGAGTTTCAATCGTCCGGAAAACCGGATCCGTTTTGTGGCCTCAAGGCCTCGACCTGGTTGAATCCCGCCAGTGCTTGGGTCGCTCGGTGGTTTTGCTGGGTTGAGGGTTTAGGTTTTAGGGCTTAGGGTTTAAGGTTTAGGGTTTAGCGTCTCTTGGTGGTCTCCTTCGGGGGGGTGCTGGTGAAGGTCCTGGTGGTCCAGGTGGTCGTGGTTGTCTTGGTCGTCGTTAGGGTTTAGGGTTTAGGGTAGGGTTGGTCGTCGTCAGGTCGTCATTCTCACCTGATCTATCACGGTTTTGGGCATCTGATATGTACATAGGCACTCAGGAACATCACTACTGTACCTATTTCTTCCGACCCCAAAACAGCCTTTCAGATCCTGAAACTCCAATCGGCTTTAGGGTCCCTATAGGGTTTAGGACTTAAGCCCCTAAACCCTAAACCCTAAGCCTTAGATCCTAAACCCTGAACCCTAAACCTTAAATCCTAAACCCTAAACCCTAAACCTTAAACCTTAAACCCTAAACCCTGAAAAGTCCTAACTTAGAGGTCTTCTTTTTCGTCTTTGCAGACGGCCCCGTCCTGGAGCATTGTCGCAGCTGGTGGGACGGAAATCAGAGCCTCGCCGGCCCGCGTCCCGTGCCTTACAAGCACCTCGGGGGTGTCAGAAAACCATCGTGAAATTTGTGGGGCCTTAGTAATTATGTAGAACAGAGTTTTGGGGTATCATATACTAAAATTATAAAGAATGGAGTTTTGGGGTATCATATACTCTAATTATAAAAAGGAGCCCCCCCCCCCCACCCCAAAACAGTATTGTTAATTGTTTAGGCCCCTACACTATGTGGGGCTTGTTCAAATCAGGGATGCCTCAAAGAAGGGGCTGCTAGTATTTAAGATCTAGGCCGACCTGAGGGTGGGGGTCAGAAACTGTGTGATCCTTGTCAATGAGGGCTTCTTCATTTCGCAGCTTCTGTACAAGGATCTTAGACTACTTAGATTATGTAGCCTTCTATACTGGGGTCCTGTATTCTCTGAATCCAGCGCCTCGACTCTGAGGGAGTCGCCCTTGTCCTTTTGCTTGGACCCCGGAGCCGGAGCGATGGGGTCATTCCGCTGAGTGACTGGGTGACTTCGTTGAGAAGTCTCTGAATTCTTCTGGGGTGCCACCTGGGACTTTCCGAAAATTAGGGGTACCTTATTTTGGGGTCCTTTTAATAAGGATCCTATTATTTAGTGTACTAAACCCTAAACCCTAAACCCTAAACCCTAAACCCTATTATTTAGGGTACTATATTAGGGTCCCCTATTTTGGGAAACCCCCACCTTTAGAGGCTCTGTCAAGGCGACTTCGGGGACGGCATCTTTGTCCGGTCCTTTCTCCATCTTCTCCTTACTTCGCCAATAAGCCAGGGTTTAGGGTTTAGGGTTTAGGGTTTAGGGTTTAGGGTAAAAGGTTAAACTTTCAGATTACTACTAAATTATAAGAACCCAAAAAGTTTAAAAGGTTGGGTATTGGAGAACTAAGTCTCTAATGCATCCCAGTCCAGCAGTGAACTCTGTGTCCTCGGTGAGCTTATCGGAGCCGGCTTCGAAGATACCTCCCTCTCCTTTACTGCCTGGCTCTGGTGGCCATTGGCTGGCCTTTCTGCCTTGGTTGCAGGAAGGCTGGGAGTGGTGAGCTTGGCGCTATCATCGCCATTCCTGATGGGTCCTGCTGGCGTAGGTGCCTCCGTTCCGTTCGCTCTCGTCTCTGAACCGTCTTCTTCGTTACCAGCGTTGGAGGCCCTCGTAACCCATTGCCGCAGCTGCTTCTCCACGATCGGATTCTCCGCAGCTGCCCTCACCAAGGAAGATGCCACGGGCGGAAGCTCCTTCAGAGCGGCCTCTGGCAAGCTTGATATCATGGACGGGGGTGCCGATGCGGGTGCTGGGGCTGAAGACGTAGCACTTCCCAGTTGGTCTTCAGCTGTTGCACTTGATGGTGCATACTTCGGATCGGCGACCTTCGTTCGGCAAGCAGCGACCGCGCGTCTCAACCCTCAACTACAGTGCTGGCTGCAGTACTGTAATATACAACCCTGGAATCACTCTACGGTAGCCCTTCAAGATCCGCTTCGTACCGGAGCCTACCTTCCCACACTCTGTAGTTGCTGTCAAGCCCCAGGACGTCGAAATACGTACCATGGTTAGCTATGCTGGCGGGTAAGTTCGGGAAGTTCTAGCATAACATACCCTAAGGGTCCATGTACCCAAATAGTATATACATTGGCCCTAAAGTACCTATATAGGGACTACATTAAGGCCAAAGTATATGCTATTTGGGAACATGGACCCTTAGGGATAGAAAGATCACTGTCGTCAGATCAGAGCTGCCTTGCTGTCCACTCCGTCTTGCGGCGGTGTCGCTTCTGCCCTTGGCATTACAGCCGAGAACACAGAAAATCAAGCACTGAAGCTTTTTATACTGTGTTGGTGGTGGGAGTAGTAGTAGTAGTAGTAGTAGTAGTAGTAGTAGTTGTAGTAGTAGTAGTAATAGTGGTAGTAGTAGTCGTCGTCGTAGTAGTAGTAGTAGTAAGAAGTAGCAGCAGCAGCAGCAGCAGCGATTGCCATAGTGGCAGCAGGACCAGTAGCAGAGCGTCAGCATCAGCAGTGGCAGCGGCAGCCGTAGCAGTAGCAGCAGTGGACGTGCTAGAAAGTACTTTAAGTGGTCGTTGCAGCGGGGTGACGGGAGGAAAAACAATGGGAGCAGGAACAGAAGTGGGAGGAATGGAGGCGGAGGAGAGTGAAGGGTTTACATTGGTGCTGAGGGGGTGCAGGGACAATCAGATCTGACAGGTTGCACATGGTTTCTTGAAAATCATGACTGACTGCAACCGACAAACAACAGCAAGCACAGCAAAGCTTGTCAGCACAATCTATCGAAAGGCGCCCACCACTGAAGCGCTTCTGTCTCAGTTCAGTTGTACACGGGAGCCCGGCGATGGCCAAGGATTGATAATTATGCCAATGCTGATGAGTCACGAGTTCTGCTGGCGGGTATGCTGTTCCCATCCGTCGGCCACCTTCTGGAGGAGGCCGACAACTTCGCGGACACTCTCCTTGCATGATCAGCTTGGTGCAGAGGCGATGAGATCACGCACATGCTTGGCTTTCGGTTGAGGTGCGTCTCGAGGCTGACACTGTGCACGATGTTTCGAGCCCCACCACGTTTCACTTTGCTATAGATGCTGAAATGTAACAGCATTGCAGCTTCAATAATTTCAAGTTGTTGCCAGCAAGCCTCTCTCTTGAATGTGGAGACAAGCCAATGCAAAACACAAGTTCTGCAATTCTACGCATTGCGGCCCCAAGAACAAACCTCAACCATGAGGCACGAGTTTAAAAAAACAGACAGTGCAAGACATCTCTAGAAGCCTAGACCCCGAAACACTGGACTCTAAACCCTCTCTCAGCCCGAAACCCTAAACCCCAAATCCTTAACCCTGCATCCTAAGCCACCAAGCTTCGTATGTCGGCGCTTCGGCTGGCCTCTCACTTTCTGAGGCCTGCTCTTTGGCCGGTACAGCGCCGACCTCAGTGCCAGCCCCCCACCCCCGAGACGCTTAGGATTTTCCAGGGTTTAGGGTTTAGGACAGGGTTTATAGGATCTTCGGGTTTAGGGTATAGGGCTTCCGGTTTTTGCACAGTTTAGAGTCTAGGGGTTTAGCGTTGACTTAGGTTTTGGGGTTTAGAGTTTGGGGTTAGCTGAAAGTTTTATCAAGCCAGACCCTGCAACATGTAAACACAACAACGAACCTCAGTATAAGTCGGTTTGATTGTTCAGACCCATGCGCCGGGTCTAAACTGCTTCAGGTCGAGGTTACGGTCAACTTACATGCATATAGGTATAGATATGTATTACAGAGATTACCATTTACATGTGGTTGTATATGTATATAAACTATACACTATAATTTTACTTGTTTACTCATTTGCTTACATGCTTTTTCAAGTATATAACCGTCTATTTGTTTATGTCTTATCTGTGTATTCATATCGCTGTTTTATATAGTTTCAGTATATGTATATATATATATATATAATATGTATGCCTGTCGAGTGCTTTTTCATAACCCACGAACAATGCAGCGTGTAGATTCGTGCTCACGTAACTAACTTTCCTTTATAGACCCTGCAAAAGGAGACTCGATTGGGACCCCTACCTACACCCTAGGGTTTAGGGTTTAGGGACAGGGTATAGTAAACCCAGAGCAATACGACTCCAAGTCTACAAAACCCTAAACTGAGCAAAGCGTAGAATGACCCTCAATCTTGGCGGAATCTGGGCAGAGGCCGATGCCTTCGAGGCGGGGTGGGATCTCAGGGTGCTTTGGGTTTGGGAGGATATTATAGCAACTCCCTGTCACGACGGTGAAAGTGCTGAGGCTTTTTACCCTAAGCCCTAAACCCTAAAGGGGTTGAGGGCTTGTAAGGGCCAGAGGATTCTAAGCTCCAGGCCCATGAGTCCTAAAGTGTGGTATGCTATCGTATCTTATGGGGGTTTCCGAAAATGGGGGACCCTAATATAGTACCCCAAATAATTAGTGGATCCTTACAATAAGGACAGCAAAAATAAGATACCCCTCATAGTCGGAAACTCCCTTATAGCATCTTATGGCAGATTCCCAAGAAGGAACGCGTAGGGCCCCTACCGCACTCTGCTCCTGGCATGGACTTTAGGGTTGGTCCAGGGGGGGTTCAGTGTCATCGGGTAGAGGGTTTAGGGTTTAGGGTTTAGGGGTTCAAGTTACAAAATGGTAGAATACAGTTTGCTATGGCATAATGTAGGAGAACGGCACAGTATGATGGGTTTACTGTTCCGGGCATTAAAAGAGCTCTGCGTGATCTAAAACCTTGCCTTAGTAAGTAGAGCAGGCTGTTGGGGGATATCAACGTAGCTTTTGAATAAGAGGCCCCACGTAGATATATTATGCATGTTTAAAGGGTCAGGATGATAGTCGTGATGATATCGCAGCTTCAAGACATTGAGGGTTTAGGGTTTAGTGTTTATAGGGTTTAGGGTTTAGGGTTTAGGGTCGAGCCTCACGGCTTATGGAGTGTCTATTGAAACTGAGACAGAGCAGCAACGATGTTCCCAACACTCGGAAGACAATCTATCTTCGTGAAGCTGCTCAAACCAACGGGCTACTCCTTCTTCTCGAGGCTAAGGAAGTCAGGAACCAACGAGCAAATCAAATCGCGAAAGCGCGATCTCAAACCTTCGAAAACGGCGCCAGAACCTCGAACCCGGGACGGTTTCGGCCTATTCCACATGCAAACACCATGGCGCTCTTGCATTAGGTGCCAAGGGACTTGGTTGCACGGTAGTTCTGCGGCACAGTGCGCATTCTGAAAGTAAAGCCGTATTCTTGCCACAGTCCCGCGCTGGACACGTCGGCCGGCGACGCCGAATTCCTTCTAAAATCCATACACTGGCGCTCTCGAAGTTGATGAATCACACTCCCGTACAGCGCCGAGTGTAACATTGGGGAGTTGATGGGTGGACATCCTGTTCCCGGCACAGTCCCGTGCTCTTTTGGCCATGGAGCCATTCGAAGTCTCGCCAATTTTGGCAGGGCCACAGTAATCGAGTCCGTCTGGAAGTCCCGCCTTTCCAGGGCGTCTTGAAACTCGGCGGAATTTCCACTCGTGCTCCCGATGCGCGTGGTTTGACTCAACTCGCAATGCCGTGCGCGTCTGCGACTCGCGGGGCGATCTCGGAAGGCTCATGGTGCTCTTGGAAAGATCTGTAGGGCTTAGAATACTAAGTGCTCTTTCGCTGTTTGGGGTCCGCGATGGCATAATCAACAATAGATCTGAGCACCTACTAGCCCTGAACGCTAAAAGTCTAAGCTGCGCTTGGCCAAAAACTCAGCCTCTCGAACTCGCGTCAGTTGGAAGCCCAAAACCACACGCTCCCCAGACCCTAAACCCGAAATCATCCATCCTGAAACGGAATACCGTGAACATCCGACAGGAAACCCTGGCCCGGATTGAATCCAGAAGGGCTACACAAAAAAAGTGCAGGCCTAAAGCACAAAACATGATAAGCAAACAAGACCTTTGAACAAGGATTCTTTAAAAGGATTACTATAAGACGTATTATAGTAGAGGGTTTCGCATAGAGGCCCGAATGCTTGGAAGAGGGCCCAGAAGCTAAACCCTAAACCCCGCCTTGGCTTGCAGCTCCTTGAAATACATCACGGCACTCAGCGCCTGCTGTGCCGAGGCCTGACCAAGGCTCGAGCCCACGAAGCCTAGGACTGATAGGGCTTTGGGTTTTAGGGTTTAG